GCAAGCATGCCTTAAAGGGGGGGCAATGTCACGGTTCGACCCTCGGTCCCACGATTATTCATTTTTCTTTTTCTTTTCCCTTCGATTATCCGGCAACGCCCAGATCGGACCAGTGACCCGCCCGGGCTGGAGACCAGAGCGGTCCGGTGCTCACCGGAATGTGCTGGAAGGTTCTCGGACTACATGACTCATCCCTTTCTCGTATGACTCGGCCCAGCTTGACTCACCCTCACTCAGTCAGCGGAGGCCGGGTGGCTCACTAAGCACGTTCTCACCAAGGCTGTGCACGACTCGGACTACTATATAAGACTGCCCCCCATGTATCTGTACTCTCTAGTTCGTCCATCTTGCTACTCATCTAGACGTCCTCTTTATATTCGTGTCTTGAACTCGTCCTTACTGCGTGACCCGGAGGTATCCGTCCTAGTGAGCCCCTAGCAGTTGTTGTCCTCGAAGCGCTGAAGGAGGATAGGCGTAGTATGGCGGCGCTTGTTTGGCGCGCGTATCCTCAATCGCTTCGTCATCGCGGTTCTCAGTGCCGTAGGGCGCCTCGTTGGAGAGGTTAGCATATACATCCGGAGTAACTTCACGGATGGATGCCTCAGGACGATCGATAGCACCATCTAGGATGCGAAGAGTTTCAGCGGTCCCAGAGACACCAAGTCGCTCTGCGAGCTTAACGGTCTTGGAGAGGATGGGATGGAAAGTGGTCTTCGAGGGCTTGTGAAGTGGCCCAGAAGAATATACACTCGAGAGAGAGAGACGAGGCTCCTCAGGGTTGTTTGTGGTGTTGAAGACGCGCGGCTCTGGAATAGCGTCGAGGTGAGCCATATGGCTAAGGAAATGGTTGCCTTGGTACTCATTAGCCTCGCGCGAGTTGTTGTTGTTGCCGAAGCCACCACGACCACGACCACGGCCACGACCGTGCTTGCGAGTGCGCTGCTTGGTGTTGTCCTCGTCACGCACGTCAGAGTCATGGCTCGACGACTGCTGCTGCGAACGACCGCGCCCACCCCACCGTACTCAGCCTGGTATGCATTCATGGCCCAAGACTTAATCTCATCAGGGTCCATGTCATCGAGCTCCTTGTCCTGCGAGAGCTGCTGGACAAACTTCATGTACGAAGGGAGCTTGGAGAGCAATACCATGGCGTGAATGAACTTCGGTATCTCAACACCGAGCTCAGCCATGCGACAAACGTGTTGGTCAATGCGCTCAACAGCCTGAAGCGGGTTACCCTTGGAAGGGATGGTGGCGTAGAGGAACTGGAGAAAGACATTGTAGACACCGGCAGTGCCAGACGTGCCGTACTCATTCTTGAGATAAACCCACATATTGAAAGCGCAGGTTTCCTCGCGAAGCTTGTTTGAGATAGCAGGGATGCAGTGCAGAAGAAGAGCGCCACGGACTTGCGAGTCCTTGGCCTTCTAGTCAGCGTCCTTCTTGAGATGGTTCACGTAGTTCTTGGTAAGGCGATCGTAGTAGTCCTCTTGATCGATGCACTTCAGGGAACTGGCCCTGCTGCATAAGGTAGGCCTCGAACTGCTGCGAGAAGAGTGTATAGTTCTCGCCGTTGAGCGACGGTACGAGGTTAGTGAGGATAGAAGAGCCAGAAGACATTGTTGATATCTGGATAGAGCGTCAGCGTCAATCCTCAAGCATACAGGCGGAATGTGCAACACCATGCAGCATGACGCCAGCTCGTCAACGCACAATGGCGACCAACAGGTCTGCGACTTTGGCGGACATGTGCACAACGCGAGCTAGCGCTCTGCGACATTGGCAGGAGGAACGATGGCGGTCACAGAACCAGCGACATCGTGATCAGGCAAGCCCGGGAGCACCAACTAGTGTGGGCATCGACCGGGCTCATAACCTGTCGAGCATAGTGTACGCACAGCAGTACAAGCTCACACAGACTTACCTGGATAGATGGATACAGAGATAACTGGGTGGTAGTTGGAAGCAAACGACCTTAGCGTAGTATTGCAGAGACAGCAGGTATATATACAGGTAGAGGAGCGTGGGAGCCTAGCACGACAGTATGTGGAATGCAGATAAGCCCCTGGTAGGACTGGAGGTGCCGAGAAAGGAAACAAGAAAGAATCACATGTTCAACATAACTGCGAAAAATCTCTGGGCGGGTGTACTTCCAGTCCTTCAGCAGCAAATCAAGAAGTTGGGTAGGCTTGTTGATTGTCATGTGCTTGCTCAGGTAATGCTTAGAGTACAGATTGCAGAGGGCATCGAGTATGATCTGTGATGTGCTCGTGGGTCTACTGCTGTTGCTAGCATCAGAGTCATCGTTGGAATCAGAATCAGAATCAGAATTGGAGTCAGAGTCGGATGACAACAACGATGACGACAACGATGACGAGGACAAAGACGAGGACGAGGACAATGACAATGACAATGAAGAGGATGAAGAGCTATCGTCCTGGAAGTGTTTGGCTTCGAGTTCGGCTACTAGGTTGACCAGAAAGACACGGTGAAGAGCATCTGTTTGTGCAGCACGGCTGTCAGGGTTGGTAGGCAGGCTTGCGATGGGGGTTGGAGGAAAGCGAGTGTTCGCGTATCTGCATCCGATCTTATCTGCACCAGGGCTGGAGCCCAGTAATAAGTAATAAGTACTTGAATTGATAAAGGTTACTGGAAGGTGCTGTCTACATAAACATCGGTGATGGGTAAAGTAATCAACATGATCTACGCTATGGCAAGAGTGTTCAAATGTCAGATGTACTTACACTTACATGTTCACGTCGACGTGTAACTCACATGCTTCGGTCATTTCCATTCGTAGTTCTCATGCTTCGCGCTCGTCTGTCTTCGCAATGCTCGTCTGTCTTCGCAATGTTTTCTTGTTTTTGTACTTCCTTGTTGTTGACTCCGAAGCCGACCGTACTGGCAAGGGGCCTATTATACATTTTATCCACATCGAAGACAGTACGCTGCAAGCACCGAACGCGAGCCCGAACGCACACACGTACCGGTGCGGCGGTGCTGATCGGGCATCACCGGTGGTGCACCAGCAGCGCGGATAATGAGGTGGGCTCGTTAACGGCTCTTATTGAGCGGATAACGGCCCCTCGTTATCGAACTTTGAACAAGACTATTAAATGTGAACCAGACGTGGTGACGACAGTGTTGGGCGTGGATTCGACGGTTACCCTTTGACTAACGCTAGTCTAAACTCCCATCAAGGTTGGTCGTCGTCAACCCCAATCCCATATTGAATTGCTCGGGCGGTGTAAGCATCGTATGTACAACCAGGAGGACAGCCGGAAAACTGAGCCCAGGTTACGGGCTGACGAAGGGACACCAGCTAAACGACGAGGGTCCATGCAAGTTCGGAGTCATCCAAGTCGAGCATATTGGCGCAGATCTCATGAGGTAGTACGATTGCTCGGACGCAGTTGCGTCGGATTCCGTTCCATGTACCCATAATGGTCGAAGCAAAGACGCGGGAAGCCGACACGCCAACGGGCGCACACAGCAAGATCAATCTCGCGGTGTTCTCGCAGCCTGGGATCCTAGTAGGGTGCTGTCGGTCTGATTCAAAGTAACTCGTGTACCGAAGGCATGTGAAGAGTATCGAACCTAATATCTGTTTCTTGTATATCGGACTCGCTGATATCTCACGAGCTGCACCAACATGCTCATCGACACAATACTAATGGACATAGGAATTGAACAGACTCTGACATTTTCCCGACAGCATGTGTACCCTCCGACACTCAAGCCGCACTCTGCTGTCGGTCCTGCGCCACTCATCCGATTCAATGGCTCTTCATGCAGTGATTGTACTGTTCAAGTGTTCGGATGCCATATAATCATCAGAATATGATGGCATTGGGAAAGCGCGCATTTAGAGAGATCACGCCAAACTGGACAGAGACCGAAATACATGAATGGTGCGGCTGCAGTATAGAGTAAGAAGACACTGGCAAGCTTGTATAGGTGAAGAGCGGCGGTACCATCATACTCATCCTTCGCCATCGTAATCTAGATGGCTAGAGCAGGCTTAGTTTAATGCGCATACAAATAGCGCAAACTGCAACATACTGAAGGTGAGCTTCCATCGTAGTCATATTGAGGGACATGAATTGATGTTTATCTTGTGTATTGAAGCTGCCCGGGTTGATAACGTGGCACTCTTCATGCTCAGTATCGAAGGGTGTGTACTGATCAGCCAGAATAAGGCATGTGGGCGGTGGGTAGAGCCGGAGAGAGTGGTCGTATCCCGAGAGCGTCGGACTTGTGCTCGGCGATATTGGAACCAGATGCGCCTGTCCAAGTATGCTGTGCACAAGCTGATCATCAATTAGCTGATGTTCGCACAACAAAGATGAGCGTGAGGCTTGCATGTTCAAAAAGCTCTTTACCACTGGCCTCTTGCCGTAATTGGTCAGCAACATTGCGAGACATTCGCGATAGCGTGTTTTCGCGGAATATAACCAGTTCTCGGTCTGAGCGCAAGATGCGAGAGGGATTGCTTGCAAAGGTCAGCTGTGGTACTCTGGCGCGAAGTTCGGCAGTCACGCCCTGCATGAGCGATCGACGAGGAAGAAGTGAGTTCCTGCACACATCATTGGGTCCAGGAACTAGGATGAAATGGGTCGACCGAGCGATAGCCGGGAAAGAGAGAATAATGTTGGCAAGAAGGTTAAACCCTTCTAAAAAACAAGATGCACTCAGTGACTATTCCAATGGTGCCATGGTATTGTTCACCTGCATATCGAGAAAATTCCAGTGTACTATGAGGGACACCACGCTTCGAGAAATTCCCACACATGATCACGGTTTCAGGGATGCTCCCAGCTTTGATACACCGATCGAAGACTTGACGCACTCCACTGAATGTGCTTGGGTCATCAAGCCATAGGTCTGACATCACAATTGAAGTTCCTTGCGCGTCGTTCGTGAGCCTGAGTTCCTAAGTGAGAAACTCAGCTCAATTGACAAGGCTAATGGCGAAGTTGAACCTTGAGATACTACCTTTACTAGGCCTAGTTTGGGATGGACTCCGAGAAAGTCAATACCCGGGTGTAGCTGTTGAGCGCTGCTCCTGCGTTCGCAAGGCGGGTTATATAATGCGGTGACCGTGAGTTCCCTGCCACCATTGTAGTAACCCTCCACAAGAACACATGACCCAAGAGTGAGGAAGCCCGTTCCGAGATGAGCCTGAGCAGCAGAGTAAGCACGTGTCAAGAGTCAGCTGTATAGACCTTACCTGATTAGAGAGGCTTAATTTGATTGTGCCCTCGAGGTCCTCCAAGGATAGTTCTCCAGAACGAGATTGGCGCAGTAGACCAAACAAGATACAGAACCCTTCACGCCCCCTTGTGCTTGGAATGGCAGATATCTGCGACGTTCATCAACCCTTGACGTCCTTCCCGGAAGGCAGAGGGATAGTCACCTGAATATGGGGTAGTGTTCGAGATAGAGATTGGCGAAGGATCAACAGCCGGTCTCTTGCTGCATCTATGCGAAACTCAGCGCTTCCCAGAGCACTGGGCGTTGAAAAGGACCTGGAAAATATGAATGCATGGTCTGAAGTCCATATATGGGGGACGTACCGTTGTCGAAATATCCCTTCTTTTTCGTCCCATTGCCAAAGGGGCACGGCAAATGAGTCTACAACACATAGACAGTTCTCTGTAATACGCATGTCGCTGGCATCAGGTTCAGAGTTCTTCGTAGTAGCTCGGTTCCTGAGTATGATGTTGCTTAGGGTCTCTATCATGGTTGGTAGGTTTGTTAGGGTCGTCGCATCTGCGATTCGCATTGAGCATCCAAATGCACCGCTCAGACTGCGAGATTAACCGAGTCTTCTTACCGGGATGAAGGGTATATTGTTTTGCGTATTCTTGTATAAGCGGCTCGGTGTCCTCTTCGGAGACGAGGTTCCGCTTGAAAATTAACCCGATCAAGCTTACTACGTCCGGACTGAGGGAATGACCATATCTCAAGAAAGACTTTGGGCCAGTGAAATCTGCGCAGGTAGAGCAAGTCTAAGGGGTGCTCACTGAGATGATGATGGGATCGTAGTTGCAGAACCCGCTCTCTATCTCTGGAAGGGAGTTTGCCATGCGCTGGTCGTGGTCGTTTTCCAAGGTACCTTGACGCGTCGAGCGTGTGATAACTGTCGAGCGTAACTGCTCCCTCGTCATCCGTGACGCGTGAAGCTTGAAGCTTGAGCTTGAACCATGACCATCTTGAACGATACATACGCGTTGCGGACCCAGCCCACGTCTCTCATCCAACGACCTCGCCTTGAGACATTGAAACCGGCTGGCCGACTAATCACCTTCTGATAGCAAAGGGATCATAGGTGTAGCGCAATGCCCGCCCACTTCAAGCTGTGTCTGATAGGTCCGATAGCTTTCGTCGTGGTCAATATACTCTTCGGGTTCCAATGGGGCCTCCAGATCCTCCTTGCGATGGCCAATCCCCTCGACGAGAGGGCACCATCTTCCGTTTTGTATGGATCGTACGGCGTATTCGTACGATCTCGACAGAAGTGCGTGGCTTCTGTCCTGTCGACACCCATAGCCAGCACCGCTGACTATGGTCACAGGGTGGTTTGACGGCTCTGTCCGCTCGCGGGACTGGAGCCCGCTGTGGCCAACAAGGATGCGATGCGGAAGACATCAGCGTGCATGCCGTGAGTCACAGAGAGGTTTCACCCAGCCGATGTATATTGATACATATGCTTCATCCAGCTCTCGTCGCGATCTTCAATCGCGCATGTGCGTTATTTTGCATACCGTCATCGTTGGCAATGCTCGCGTGCAGTTTGTCACGGAGGCTCTACACGTTCGATGCTCATACATCGATTGTTGTGTACAACATGCGCGAGACCGAATCAGTACGTTTTCTCCCAGCGCTCAGGTCTTATTATTGCCCGAGTCGACCTTGCTGACTTCACGCTGCGCGAAGCGCCAGGCTCCGCTGGAGCATCGCCTTGCGCACTCATTCATACGAGTCGACCGCGCGCCGCTACCGACCACAGTGTGCATTCGCGACTTCAACCGATGACTGCGCCGGATCCGTCGGTTTTGCGGACGAACTCGCAAAACGGTATGCCTACTCTCCTGTCAAGTACATAACCTGGTGTTGATCTAGCTTATGGACGGTCCTGAGTCTAAGAAACGCGGTCGAAATGAGCATACTCAAGGTGACAACAACGACTGCTTATATCGTCGAGCGGGCCAGAGGTACCTGTGGACGGTCGTGATTGCACAGGGCTGACGACAGCCCCGCAGCTCGATCCACGCCACAAGCTTGATTGTCTCCCTCAGGAAGCTATGGCGCTCTGAAGACCACCGCAGATCAACTTGATGACCGTCAGTATAATGCCGGGGCGGGAGGCCGCGGGATCACTATGTGGTCTTCAAGCTTGTGCTGCGCCTCTCATGACACCGTCCTAGGGTTTACCATGGTCTTCCAGAGATCGAGATGCACGGTATATGTGCGTTTTCTGTGAAGAAGATCAGGTTGGAGTCTTTGGCCTCATGCGCCAACTACTTTCATGCCGGCTATGAGGATTGACCTCGGCAATGACGCGGATCACATCGTGCATCTCTCGCCTATCCCCACACGACTATCGATCAGTAGTGACCCTGCGCTACTAATCACGACGGCCCACGTACCCCCGAGCTGTCGGTGTCGTGCGTACTGCCAACTTGTCTTTACAATCCCTAAAGCTCAAGACACCACGAGTGCTCGAGGATCTGGAAAAGCACCGCAACATCATCAAGTAGGAGGTTGTGATCATCTTCATGACTCTGGTCTGTGGGTCAGGTCGAGGGAGGCCGGGAGCGCTTGCGCTCAGGGCGCGAACGATGAGTTACATCAAGTGCTTTTGTCTTTTGTGCGGAGCCCAAGCTCTTCCCTGAGGATTCCGAGCACAGATGATGTCAGGCCACTCGACGTAGCTGGCAACGAGCTCGAGTACCGCAGGCGTCAGCACGCTGGACCTGATGGATTTCGTGCAGGCGAGGGCGTCTGGCGGTCAAGAAGGACGCTCGGTTTCACCTACGATAATATGACGCGATCACCCGGGGTCGCCATTCATTCATGAGCGATATGCTAGGATTCATGTATAACGACAACTACGTGCACCATACTGCTTCGGTCGCTGAATGTGAATCGATGTAAATGACTCTAGCGAGGTGTACCTCACCGCAAGATCGTCACGGTTTCCGCTCAGTATTGACGAACACGATGCGATGGAATTCGTGTGCATAGTTCTGGGAGGGCGCGGTGACAAGGGCGCTTGCGACCCGTTGCGGCCTATCAATGTCGGGGCTCGCCCTCGTACATCTTCCTTCACTGGCCGTCGCGCTGAGATCATCACGGTCGACACTCAGTATCGATCGATGCGATATGATGGGCTATCCATGTGCGCCGTTCTGGGCCCTGTCACGGTCACGCGAGTTGTCGGCGAGCGAGATTGCGTCGGAACGCCGGCGCGTCTCGAAAGATGTCATAAATGGCATTATATTTGCAAATTATAGTAGCGTGTATGTATGTACATGAATGTGATATGAGAGATACAGGAGGGGTATGTGATCGGGAAGTTGGTGGTACAGTATGAATAGCTCTGAGTATACAAGAGTGCGAAAATGTTGCTACGAGGCAATGTGAATGCTACTTGAAAAATATAAACACAATTGGTAGCCAAGATGACAGGAAAACAGGGAGCATCAAGACAGAGCGAAAAGCATTGCAGGATGTTCTATGAGATCAGCAGAGACGGAGACGTAGTTCAAAGGGAGCCTGCAGACTGGGTAGCGGTCACAGAGCGAATACAGGACAAGAACAAAACAAGATAATCAAACGCACGAGCCCAACATCTCCTGCACTCATATTCTCAACCCTTCTGCGTGGTGTTCTCTCGACTCCTCCAGGCGACTTCTTCATCCCACATGTGGCGTCCTCCGGGACAGAAGGTCCCTGAACTTCCGCCTAGCGGACCGGATGACCCGCCGGAAGATGTTCAAGCGCGATCCCTGTTCCGTAGGGGTTTGCCCTTCCACATCAGCTCCAGGCTGTTCATCTCCATCTATGGCGGCGACGGCGGGCACTTGAACCCCGGCTGCGACAACATCAGGCTGTTCGGCCCCTTTGGCGACGTCCGTCACCGCTCCTCCGTCGACCGCGCCGACCTGAGCTCGGCGGGTGCGCGGGCGAATGGGATCAGCAAGTGCGCCGAACAAGATCGTCGACCCGGTAGCCCCGGCTACATAAACCAGTGAGCGTCAGCAGGGGAATACGCATGCTTCGTGAGTACGCAATATGTCATTTATCGAGAGAGTCTCCTTGTTGTAACGAGAGGTCATGGCGGTCAAGAGCAAACCAGCATTGGCACAAGCGCGGTGCCACAGTTCCGCTCACGCGCCGAGCGCCCTGTCGGCGTCTAGATCTCCCGGCGTCTAGATCTCATCTTATCGCGCGATCTCCGGATTTCATAGATCGAGCCCCTGCGCCCTTTCCATCCCGATGGGTTCACGGCAAAGGATTGACAGTGAGTACACGCGTACATGTGCTGCTGAATGGTGGTCCACCACTACTACGACTACATGGTAGTCCGCCACGAGTCTTCGGCCCCGGAACTCTTCCCGCTTATCCAGGGACAGGTGTTTATTCAAGTACTCCTTCATTATCTGCTCCCACCGACGAGCGCCCTCTTCCGAGGGCACTCGATGAATGAGTTCAGCATCACAACCATCCGCGCAAATAATCTGGAGAGGTGACACGATCAGTGATAGTTCGATCCATAGGCCAGGCGGTACGACGCACTGCTCCACAATGGTCATCGGTTTGCTGAATGTTGTACCGCCGTGTAGGCTACTTGCTCGTACAACTCTCCTGGAGCCGCTTTGTACACGGCCTACCTTGAGTACATGAAGTTCTTGTAGAGCTGTATGCTGTATGGTGATCATTCCCCAAGATGAAACACCGTTTGAATTGAGTACTCACGGTGTTGTCCGGGTCAGCATCGCTGAGGCCTCGGACGTACGATTGTAGCAGCTCGTAGCGTGGATCTGAACTTGAGCGTACGTCCGGATCCGAGAGCATCTCTTCTGGTGTATCTGCGCGAATCGGATGTCATCATCACGGATCGCCGCGGGTACTTGCATTAGGGGAGACGCAGATAGCCAGTTCTTGGATTTCATATGCAGCCCCCAGGCTCTGCGGACGCACTGATGCATATAGTACGTTGACCGTGTGTATACGCCGACGCCGACGCCAGACCGATATGGCCGAGAGTTCATCGGTGTAGTTGACGTGCGGGGATGGCGTGGTTAAGGAGGTCAATGGTGCGTCCATATGAGAGAGCCGAGTCGAATGGGGTGGTGTGGCGTCTGAAGACGACAAGACGAGTGAGTATGCGGAGAATAGAAGGGTCGCATCTCACGTACCTTATCCAGATGTAGGCAGCAACAATCACAGCGGCGTACTTCGCCAGACATATGTCTTCTCTAGTCTGCTTGGAAGGCTCTTGAAACAGCCAGCCAGCGCTGACGGATATTCATTAGCAAAAAAACTCAGGCGAGTCGCGAAGGCGTTGCTTACTGGATAGCCTCCTTGAGCGTTGCGCCATTGCTCTGCTCATGCTCGCAGTACGACCAATCCTGGGATCTAACCATCGACGAGCAACGTCAGTAGCAGTAACCCATTCTCTATGCAAAGACCAGGGCACATGAAGTACACTCAGTTCTCTGCCGAGACGAGCAACAACATTTGGCCGTCCCACAGCTCGTAGAGCCTGTACGGCACAGCTCAGCGCCATTGGTACCTTAAGGGACTGCTCAGTTACCCGAGTCCATGCACAGGGCTACAGCCTCGATTGAAGCTTCTATCGGCGAATTCGCGCACGGCACGACTATGCCTTTGCGCGGCCAAGAGGGGAAGACGCCGTTCCTCTAGCAGATGAGATGTCGATTGATTGCAGGCCGCTCTGCTTCTAACGCGATTGCCTCCAATTACCTCACACAAAACCACTCGGGACATTCCGCTACGCAGGTACAGTATACTGTGTCAAAGATGGTGGGAGAAGGCAAGGGACACCGCGCCGCTGTTCCGACCCCAAACCATGTTTCGCAGGATCGCGATGCCGTAGACTTGCTTCGTGCCACGATCTGTCTTGTGTCTTGTACATCGCTCTGCCTATGAAACATGCTCGGAGTCTGAGGATTCGACATTCGACATTTGACCCTTCCACGTGCGTGAGGCAGAGGACAAAGACGCACTGTCTGTCGCACGGTCAATGCTGGAGAGCGCTGCATTGTCTGGTCCCTCTAAGGATACGACCGGGACGCAGGGCGGAATCGATCATTTCTGAGGTTGTCGGAGGCATCTCCGTTTTGCGAGTTTCAACGCAAATTGCTGACTCAAAACGTGACTGTAGGCCGTGGACGGTATCACGGCGAAACTCGGAGAGCTGTTGCAGGATCTATTCGAGGAGCAGGGTCAGGCGCAGAGCTTACAGCATCTCGACAAAGTGCGTGGGCTCCTCCGTCTTCGGACCACCCGAATGTCCGCGTGTTTGCTGTTTGCGAACACATTGCGTCTCCTTAACGATCATATACAGAGCTTTGCTGACACAGTATACTTGTTTCACAGGCCCTCGACATGGGTACACCGGCGACGATGTCCTCCACCCTCGCCTTCGCCGAAGGCGTCAACCTCGACTCCATCAACTAAGTAGCGGGAAGCTTCGCGTGTGAACATTAAGAAGCTCGAAAAGCAAGAAGCAAAGTTGCCATTGAGAAGCGCGCACGTCGGCTGGGCGGAGACTTTCGAAGTTGCTGAAGGAAACGAAGGCGAAGGAGAGCCACGAGGAGACGTTCATGAAGGTGTGCATAGATTGTGCGGCTGAGGGTTTGGAAGGGATGCTGATTGGAAGTGTAGATCAACTCGCTCAATGCGGCGAAGGACGGGAGGAATAAGAGCAAAGATATCACTTGCCCAGCATCAACGTCTCCTTCGGCTTGAATCGCATCCTGTGGGTGCTTTTATTCAGCCATGATGGTTCACCACATCCAAAACCTGCACCCGTAGTTTTGGCGCTTCCCTCATGCTCGCACACGGCCGACGCTACGGTATCATTAGCCGCAACGGTGTCGACAAGTTGACCCAACTTCGGCATATTGCCGTGCGTGACGTCCCGATTCCGGAGCATATCACGATCTTGTTCGTGGAGCAGGAGGTCAGTCCTCCCTAAATCTCCACAAGATTGTAACGCACTGATCCATGTCCCTCAGATCATCGGAGATGACACTATCGCTATGGACTCAGTCCTGAAAGCCGACGGCTGGTGCGACCAACTCCTCTGCAAAAAAGCCTCCCTCAACGCGTGCCTCGCCGCGCTTGCCTCTTGCCTCTTGCTTGGGACGCGTCGTCTGGTCCAGGTCCAGCGCGCGGGTTTGGGATCCAGCGAGGTGGACCAGCAGAGACCGACAAAGAGTTTCTCTGGTGGTTGGAGGATGCGGTCGGCGCTTGTGCGTGTGCTGTTCGACAAGCCTGTGCTGTTGTTGCTCGATGAGCCTTGTAACTATGGCACGTGGTTTTTTCCCTCCGATTTACGGCAGGTGCTGACGTGCTCTACAGTTGACTTGGGTGCGCTTGCATGGCTCAAAGACCATTTGCAGACCTGGGAGGGAACGCTGCTCGTCGTCTCCCACGACCGTTCCTCGAACAGCACTCCGGCCGCCCGGACTACTACAATGGGTCTGTTACTCTCACACCCATAAGCGGCCGAGAGTGATCACCGATGTGTACGTATAGCAACTTCACATAGTTCCACTTGATCAAGAGCGAGCGCGAACGCAACTTGCGGCACTTGTGGCGCGAGTACAATGCGCAGATGGAGTACCGCGCGCATCTGCGGGCCTCCATCGAATGCTGGCAGTAGCCAGACGCGCTACATTTATCCTACCCCCATTGATGCCTCGCGCTCACGGCTTCTTCTAGCCGCCCAGGCGCAGTCGAGTATCAAGATCCCCGAGAAGCTGCCCGAGCTCACACCTCTCGAAGTGGACGAGACCGAGACGTTACGCCCCCCAAGACGAAGAAGATATCGTCTCCTCTACTGCAGGTGCGCTCTCCACCTTGTTCCCCTTTACAAACCGATACCGACTTATTACCCAGCTCAGCGACGTGACGGTGAGGACGCCTACGCGTCGGATAATTGTCCCAGCACCACGTCGAGACGCTCATCCCTACAATGAACCTAGTAGTCCAGTGCCTCGCGAGCCAGTTACCGGACAAGATAGAGTAGGAGCACCGCTCGCAGCTGGCCAATCTCCATATCGGCGGTATGGCTGGGTACATATCTCCCGGGCTGCATTTGCAACTGGCGCTGATAAATGATGATCTGTGTAGCCTGCAGTTGATCGAAACGCTCTCGGGAGGACAGAAGAGTCGTGTGGCGTTCGCGATGTTGAGCATGTTGCGCTCGCATATTCTGTTGCCTGGCGAGCCGACTAACCACCTCGATCTCGAGGTACACCCTTTCCCTGTTCTTCCTTCGTACGCGCGCTGACGATGGTACCATAGGGTCTCGATAGGTCTCGACGCGCTCATGAAGGCACTTAGCGAATAGAGGGCGTAATCGTGATCTCCCACGACCAGCGCTTTATCACGCATGTTGCCAGTGAATTTTGAATTTGAGATGACGGCTCAGTGTGAGTTGCTATAGAGATGCGCAGGCGTACAAGGTGAGCTCTCGGGAGCTACTGGCTGAATTGATGACTGATACGCGGATGTAGCAACTCATGTACTCATCGTCAACAACGTCAAGACCAAGCCTTGAACACATCCTAATTGCTTTGTGTATGCGGCACGTAGGCCATTTGTAGGAGATAAAGTAGCTTTTCGTAGCATACATGGTGCGCGCGAACCCAAAGAAAGATCCAAGACACAGAAAGAAGATCGAATTACGAAGATTACTTGCTCATATGCTGTTCGTCGTCGACGCTGCTTACCTTGCTGCTACCCACGTTGTTAACTTCGCCATCGTAGACGCCCCGCCTGTGCAGGTCGCTCGCGTTCAGCGCTGGCTTTGGTGTCGTCTTCACCTTGGGCGATGCGGGTTCTTGAATGATGCCGCGATAGACGATGTCTCGGTCGAAGTTAAGCTCTTGGTGGAAGGCTTATCGAGCTAGTCGACATCGACAAGAGTACACACACGCGCCACATGTGTTCGAAGTTCGAAGT